AGTAATAGAAACCATTTTTACTTCAGAACTAAATATTTCTTTCAATACCCGCGATAACCAACCCGCAGAAACAACCTTACCTCGACAGGCGAATAGTGGGAACTACAGAGTAGGCCTAAGCACCTGCACACGTAAACTTGATTCGAATCATTTGAACGAAACTAAACCAAACCATAATTCTTTTTATATTTCATAGTAAATACTGAACCAAATTTCACCATTTAATTAGTAATACCTTGACAATATATATATATATATATGAATATATATATATATATATATATATATATATATATATATATATATATATGTGTATGTATATATGTATATATACATATACATAAACAGTATGTATAAATATGTGTGCACATATATAAATGCGCATATATATATTATATATATATGTATACATTTAAATACACACACACACATATATATACGTATGTACATGTAGGTAATAACTCTTTTAATTGTTATTACGATATAGAAATATATTGTATTTTACATGGCTATGTACATGCCTATGTGTGTACTTTATCTTAATAAAAATTAGAAATATTACGCACGTGCACAAATGTACATACTTCACTTATATACCTGACCGAAATTCTGTTCATGCATGTAGTTATGAGCTATGTGAATGACCACTAAGACCTGGTATATTCAACATATACATATACATATTTGCGGATGTACTCATAAACATAAGTATACATACGCGTGTCCATGTTCATATGAATGGTTGTATATATGTGTATATATAGTCATACGTACGTGTATAAGGTGCATATAAATTTGCGTTCGCATGTAGGTAGGTGTGTATACATATATGTATGCACATGGAGATTCATATGACGTGCGCGTACGTTTGCGTAGAAATACATACAATATATGTGTGTATGTGTCCATGAGTGTGTATGCAGATTTGTGTGTGTACATGTACACGGCTATGTTTGTGTATATACTATCAAATGTATGCATATATATATATATGTATATATATATATATTTATATGTATATATATACTTATATGTATATATATATACAAATATATACACACACACTTGTGCGTGTGTATCTGTGTATTAATGCACACACACATATATATGCATATATATATATATATATATATATATATATATATATATATATACATATATATATATACATACATATATATATATATATATATATATATATATATATATATATATATATACACATATTGATAGAAGGATAGATATAGTATGTATTGCATATATGTGTAAATACACACATACACACACGTGTGAATAATAATATATATACATACACACACATATATATATATATATATATATATATGTATATATATATACACATATATAATATATAGATGTATATATGCATTATATATACATATATATATTATATGGGTATACATATAAATATATGTATATATATATATATATATATATATATATATATATATACATATATATATATATATATATATATATATATATATATATATATATATATATATTATATATACATATATGTATGATATATAGGTATATGTATAAATATATGTATATGTATATTTTATATACATATATATAATATATAGGTATATATATAACTATATGTATATATATATGCATTATATATACATATATATAATATATAGGTATATATATAGATATATGTATATATACATTATATATACATATATATAATATATAGGTATATATTTATTACACACACACACACACACACACACACATATATATATATATATATATATATATATATATATATATGTATGTATATATAGGTATATATAGGTATATATATAAGCATATGTATATATGCATTACATATACATATATAATATATATATATATATATATATATATATATATATATATATATAGGTATATGTATAAATATATATATAT